GTGAGAGAAGGGCTTGTTCCCTCAGACCCTTGCGCTGAGAGCCTGCCCTGCCACTTTGGGCACGGCAAGGGTTTGAAGTTCAGTTTGCTGTTTACTTCAGCTTCAGAAACTGTCACCTATTTTATTCGATAGCTGAGCCCTTGCCTGTTGTCTGTAACACAGTCATAATGCTCTGCCATGGCACTGTCCAGCAGGAAAGGTGGGTAAGTCCCTTGCACACATACTCAAAACACACGAATTCTGCCTTTTTGCCTTTTAATTAAGTTTTTATTTTCTTGCAAGAATGGCATGTATTTTTCATCAATACTGCAGTAGAATTACATCTTTACTGATCACTGATTTCATTTCAGGGGGCTTGGGAGATGAAGACATCCAAAAGGGCCTTGGTATCTTCTTTTGGGGGCAGATAACTTTAATTCTGTTCCCACAGTGCAAGATGGAGTGGTGATGATTCCCCCTTGCAAAATGCAGTGGTGACCACTGCTCTACCTACACTGAAGCCCTTGTGAAACTCACTTGGAGAATGAAGAAGCAAGATCCTTGTAATTCAGGAACTACAAAAGTGCTAATTATTATGATTCAGTGTTCTTTCAAATGCTGCTTGAAGAGGGGACTTGAGGTTTTAAAAATATTTTTATGCTAATGATTTATTTGATGATTTTTTTTTTTCTAGAGGCTTGTAAAGTCTCAAGTGCTGTGACTTAAAAAAGAAGCACAACACTTCTAGTGGAGTGTCTGACCTCTCACTGAACAGCACTGGCAAAATTTCCAGGCAAGCTAATTAATAGACTTACACAGCACCAGTCAGGTATACCCCTAGCAGCTTAGCTCTCAGCCAAGAGAACAAAATCTTCCTGTCCTCCGCACACCCACATCTCACTAGCAATGATGGATTTAGGACCTAATCAGCATTAAACTAGAGGATTAGTGAGCTGCAAACTGCAGCTATCATGACTCAGTTTACAGTGCATGCAGGGGACTGGCAAAAATTACAAGGCATGGTTTCAGTAAATTAAAGTCTATGTATCTGAAAAACCCATGTGGGCAGCAGGAACTGTTGGACTTATATTCAATACATGTAAATGAGGATTTTGAATGATTGCCAGAAAAAGCAACACAGAACAGTAGCTTAATGGGAAATTATAATAGAGCAAGGAGCCTGTATAAGTAGATGACTGTGAAGCAACTAATACAATTCAGCTGTGGTACCACACACAACTGCCAAACAACTGCCTTTTTCAAGTTGTAGGATATGTTGCATCCTTCTACAAGCTTTAGAAGGTCCAGGGAGCTCAGGGCCCACTTTCACCTGTGTTCAGAAGGGGTACCTTAGGGGAGACCTGCTCTGACTACACTCAGGGCAAGGAGAGATCTAGGTAGGAGAAGAAAACAGCAGCAAGAGAATCAGGAGTTGGAGGTTTCAGAGATCAACAGATGCGTATTTGTCTCCCCTAAGGATCCTTTCCTTGGCCAGATGGAGCGTGAGAAGCAAAATCTTCATATGGCCATTGATTATGCCTACAGTAGCAAATAATTTGGTGCAAGACAGTGTCTCCAAGGTCTGGACTTTCATATCAATTACTGGAAGGTGCTGAACTCCCTCCTTCTCCAACTCCTGCCACAGGCCCACCTGCAGGATATGTGCGCAGCAACTGGGTGGCTCTGGAGGGAGACAATGTTGTGGGGCCATGACACCCCTCCAGAGCCTGTGTTTCCAAGTAGAAGTCTGCCATCTGGAATAGCTGTCAGCCCTGCTGAATGAATGAAGGAGCTGTTCTTCCATTTTTTTACACATACATTACTGTGGTAGTTGCACAGCTTTGAGGCAAAGTCATTCATACTGAGTCAGGACTGGGCAGGCAGTTTCCTATCATTGTTTATAGTTTCAGGTAGCTGCTGTGTGAATGATTTCTCCTGCAGCTCATAGACCCTGTGTTTGCTTTTAGAGGTATGCCAGCTCTTCTATGCAGCCTGGTGGTATCTATCACTTCCCTGCAGACCTGAGCACAAAGCTGTAATTCCACTTACAGAAAAGCAGTACTGTCCTGGAAACAAGAGCATGCATAGGGGGTGTTGATGCCAGCTATGGTGTGGAGCAGGTAAAAAAGGCACCTTATGATACCTTGAAGGGATCTTTTGGGGGATACAAGAATAGGAACCCTGGAGCCATGTCAAAGCACTGTCATTTCTCCAGGCTCTCTACCATGATGAGAGAGCCCATGTGAGCAGCTACTGCTATATTGTACTCACATAAGAGGTACCTGTCTGCCATGCTCTTGGGGAAGTGTAATGGGACTTCAAGAGGATGACCTTTTTTCTCCTGAAATCTGTGGACCACTGCTTGCCAGTGCTCTCATACCAAGAGCAGTTGTGACATTAGCAACCTCCTGCTTCTGCCAGCAAATTACTCTTGCTACCCAGGAAACCTTTGTCCTTCCCTTCTGCCTCTCATGTTCTTGTCGCGGAGTAGCAAACACTATCACTTCCACAAGGGGCTCAGGTTACAACTCTCTCAGTTTTGGGGAGGCTAAATGCAGAGGAAAAAACAGTTGGCAAATGGATAGTAAGAAAAAGATCTGATAATGGAAATGAGGTGTTCAGCAAGTGAGAGTATAACAGAAGAGAGAGCAGCTAAAGACAGGAAATTATTTCAAACTAAAAGTGTCTGTGGATGGTGAAGAGTTGAATGCTCGCAGAACCTGGCAAATAGGAAGGTGCTTACGGCGCTTGGCCCTTTGCATTTAGCACAAGAACAATTTCAGGATCTTGTGGAAGCTCTGAGTGGTTTGAGAGTCTTTTTTAAGCTCATGTGCTATGTAACATGCTGGAGGATCTGAAAAGTAGTGCAGCCCATATAGGGATTTGGAAAATGACATTTCCATGAAGTGCTAGAGCGGAATGGCATTTCACTGCCTTTCCCCAGAAGTCACCTTGTTTGTGCTCTTCTAAATCACTCTGAGAGCCAGGCTAGTCATAGAAGCAAATATGAGATTTGCTTCAAAACCACACTACTGGGCTACTGCTAAAGGTAGCCACTGAATCACAGAATCATAGAACAGTCTGGGTTGGAAGGGACCTCAAAGGTCACCTAGTTCCAACCCCACCATGTTCCACTAGACCAGGTTTCTCAAAGCCCCATCCAGCCATTGCCTTGAACACTGAGAGGGATGGGGCAGCCACAGCTTTTCTGGGCAGCCTGTGCCAGTGCCTCACCACCCTAATAGCGAAGGATTTCTTCCTAATGTCTAAACTAAATCTCCCCTCTGTCAGTTTAAAGCCATTCCCCCTTGTCCTGTCACTACATGCCCTTGTGGAAAGTCCCTCTCCAGATTTATTGTAGGCCCCTTTGGGTGCTGGAAGCTGCTGTAAGATTTCTCCAAGAGTGTTCTCTTCTCCAGCTTGAACAACCCCAACTCTCTGAACAACCTCAACCTCAACTGAGCCAAGGGCACACACACCTCTTGCACATTAGCTTTTCTGAGAGGTGGATTACAGCTTCCTTAAATTCCACACCTGAGAGAAGAAAGAAAGGCACCTAAAGTATACCTTATGCCTCCTGGCAAAGGTTATTGCCTTTTTATGGGTAGGTCTTTCTACACTGACAGCCCATCAATATAGGGGTCATGGGAAATGTCTTTTCTGTGGTCAGGTCATAGAGCAGGTGGTTCAATACCTTTTTAATGTAGTGTGTAGAAGGGTTGAATCACTCCCCTGCTCAAGAGAACTGACAATATTGTGTGCATGGAAGAGACAAGGGAGAGCTGCCATCTGCTGTTGGGAAGATTCTGGTTCGTCTTTCATCCCAGACACTGCCAGCTGCCTCAAGTGAGTGACTCATTAACGCCAGTTAGCACGCAGAGCAATATTTCACAGGGAGTCCTGGAAATCCACAGCTGCCACTTACCGGGGGAAACGAAAGTTTGCCCTGAAGTGCTGCTATTCTCGTACCTAACTCAGGGAAAAGATGATTGATTTTACTGACCTTTCTTTCAAACCATCCACACCAACAGCGAAGGAAAGCTGGGAGGTATGGTGAAAACCAGTGTGTCTCCAGGAGGGAGTTTAATGGAATAATCAATGACATTTTCAAATTTCAGCCATAGGTAGTCACTTAAATCAGAGCTAAACCCGATATCTGCACTGGGGTGTTCGTTTTTTTTTTTTTTTAAAAAGCTGAGCATTATTACTGTGGAAATGAAAATATTTCTGATGTCCTGCACTTCTAAAATCTGGATACTCATGGTGAGAAAAAATTATTAATCATCCACTTAGCAGGCAGCTCATCAAATGAAAAGTCACTTTGAGTCAATCAAAATCATATATCAACTCTGAAAACATGTTTACTCTCACTTTCTAAGTAGCATCTTAAGCCAGTTTAGCTAAATGTAATTCATTATTTTTACAAGAAAAGGCACCCAAATATTTAATGTGCATCAAAGAAAATGTTTTATTTAAATAGGAAGTTAATCTTGCTTAATGTTTCAGTTGAAAAACAACCTAAAAATTTTGTATAGAAAGGTACTGCTTGTTTATAATGTTTTTCCAAGAGAGCAATTGAAGGAAATAAAAAGCCATCCATATTATTTACAGGGGAACCACAGAATTCCGTAACTGAGGACCAGATCTTTCACAAACATATAATTCATATTACAGCAGTGTGGTGGTGATTTGCTCTGAGAGTAAATACTTTTCAGTTATCCTGTTGAATATTTTAATTACAAATTGGAATTCTTCCAAAGGATATTAAAAAAAAAAAAAAAAAAAGAGTAAATCTAGATTATGTGCACTCAACTCAAGTAACTTTCCAGTAGGAATGGTGGCAGGAGTAATAGCAGCTGCAGATGAGTGTTCAGTCAATTCAGTTGCTTGTGTTGGTAAATTTTTGACTAGCGAGGTTGTGTTCTAGTAGATGCGTACATTTATAGGCCATATTTGAAGCTTTTAGCATATTTACCTTAGAAATAAAGACTGGGTTATTTTAGAAAAAAGAAAAGTCATAATTCATAAAAAAATATTGTTTTAATGCTGTAATTATGGGGTAAATCCTAAGGCCTGGTATGTATCAAACAAAATTGTAAAAACATTGGGGATAGCCCCAAACAGATAACATCTGGGTTTTTTTTTCCCCCCGAATATATTTCAGAGGCAAAAATCCTTAATCCAGCTGTGATCACGCATTTCACTTTAACTACTCGGTCTATGGCAGGGTGTAATTTAAAACAGGAATTAGGGATCCCAGCAGTAGCTGTCACACTTACACGCACCTGGTCTGAGTCACAAGAAGTGAATTCAGAGGAGGGCAGATGAGATCCAGTTTACAGGGGAGGGCTGTACCTCATGCTGACTCCTTCTGATTTGAAAACCTGCACAAAACACACCAGTGCAGATTCTTCTGGAGCTGGTTCTGTGGGGTTTCAGCGACGTTTGCCTTAGAGTGGAAGCAGCAGTAGGTACATCTCACAGATAGTGCAGCCCATTGCCTCCTCAGCATGGACTCGGGGTTAGCAACTTGTTTTTCCCAACGTGGGTTATAGGGTGTGCTGGAGAGAGAAATAAACACCATTATGTGGCAAGTTACTGATGTTACCCTGGGAAGAATGCACTACAGTTTCGTTTTCCTGCACTGTGGTTTCTAAAGCCTGTGGCAGTTTCTGATGCTCTCTGCTTTCCCATCACTCTGCTTGCGCTACTGCAAAGCCCGTTTGAACTTGGCAGGACAGAGACAGGTTTGCAAAACCTGCACAGCCTTTCCTCTCAGGATATAAAGCATGGTCTGGAGAGCTGCATCTCAGCCTTTGCGCAGTCTGTAGCCTTTTCCTTTGAGAATACAAAGGTGAAAATGTAAAACAATGTCGGTAGCTGAAACAATGCTGAGCTCCCTTCACAACTGAAAAGAGCTGAAACCCCTGAGGTCCCCGCAGCGCAAACTTACCGTAGGGTGATGGCGCTACCTCAACAAGTGTCAGATGCTTTGGGGCTGAATCACAGTCCCGCTGAGGTGGTCAGGCATCCTCAGAGCTGCAGGCTGCCACAGGATGGCCTTGGAGGGTAAGAAACTGCTCCAAAGAGAATGAAAACGAGTTGCAAAAATCTGTCAGAAACTTGCCAGTGAAGTTTCTTTGGCTCTGCCCCTGGGTATTGTTCCCAAATTCAACCTCTCGCCCTCAGATAAAGCACTACAGCCTGAAATGAGTCAGATGTGTGGGAGTTCTTGTATCTGTGCCTGGGCTGGAAAACATATGTCCTGTAACTAATAGAAAAAACTTTTTTACTTTGGCCTTGCGCCAGAAAACCTTTTCCCTTGCTTTTACAACTGTCCCTGTTGCCAGGGGCTATCTGGATGTTTAACCGAGCCCTGAGGACAAGGAGGCTGAGGACATTTCTTTGACTGCCTTCTTCGCTCTGCCCCCAGGTGCAGAAGCAGCCAGCCTCGGGGAAGCCTCCTCTAGCCCACACCTGTGCTCCTCAAGAGGCGAACAAGAAGCTATGCTCACCCCCAGCTGCAGGGTGACCCCAACACAGCGACCGAACACACAGCTTCTGCATCTACCTGCTACAAGTGCCTCAGCAGAGAGGGAAGAGGAGCAGCCAACACCTTGGGGAGCAAAAGGAGGAAGAGGAAATCCTGAGCAGCTGTTGGTGGCGTGTTCCTACCATTTTACCATGAGGTTATGCTACTGGTGGATTGATTGTTACTCTTTTTAAGTCCGTACCCTGGAATTTTGTAATAACAGAATCATAGAATGGTTTAGGTAGGAAAGGTCCTTCAATTCATCCAGTTCCACCCCCCCTGCCATAGGCAGGGACGCTTCACCCTATGTCACCCGAGGCTGGAAAGAAGAAGCTGGAAAAACGTGAATACTGTTCACATCAGGGTTTTAAAATTAGCCTTTCCCTGCAGGGTGGCAGATGACTTCTGGCTGGATGCAACAGGGCAGTTTTAACCCACGGGAGATGCGGGTGACAACAGCAATGACCGAACTTCAAGGACAAGGCCGGAGAGCCGGGGAAGTACTTGTCAAAACAGAGAGCGGGGGGGGATAACGGGGCTACCGCCGGGGCCGCAGCCAGACGAGGAGGGGCTGCGGCCCCGCGGCCCCTGGCTGCTCCCCGGGCAGGGCGGAGGCCGAGATTGCGGTCGGGGATCCGCTGCCACAGGAGGAGCTGTCCTCTCCACCCGGCAGCAGGGCCTGGGGGCGCTGCTCCGCCCCGGCCGGTAGCGGCCACACCGCCCTGCCCGGCACACCTAGGCCCCGCCCCTGGCGACCTGCCTGCGCAACGCGGCACTGCGCGGGCCGGGCCCGGGATCGGGATCGGCGGTAAGGCGGCTTCCTCAGAGGCGGCGGGGCGGCCCAACGGCCGGAGTACCTCAGGCTCCGCGGGTGTCCCGGCGGCGGCTCAAATTCCCCCTCACCCTGCTCGGGTTCTTCGCTGCCCGGGCGCCGTGGGGCGAGGGGCCCGCCGTGCCGCTGTGCGGGACGCAGGTGCCAGCGCTCAGGCCGGGAGGTGGGAAACCCGGGTGGAGGAGCCTCTTCCCTCGGGTGCAGACTCGGCCGGGTTGGGGACGGGCTCTCGACCGCCGTGGCCCCGTGCCCTGGCTGTTCGCTCCGACCCCGGACCCCTCCAAAGCCCTGCGCGTCGCGGCAGGGTGGACTCGGGTCCATCCGGACCCCGCGGTGTGCCCGGCCGGCCCTGAGCCACCTTCGAGGTGAACTTTGGGGAGAAACCGCCCAGATTAACTCGGTCTGTTAAACACGGAGGACACCTAATAGCAGACGGTCTTTCCGAAGTCGTTTTAGTGAAGCTACAAACTCTCCCCCAGAACAGCTTCTCAGTCCGTAAAGTAGTTGAGGAGACGTGATTAGTCTCGTATGATAAATGCAGTATTGCTTGCATAATTTACAGATGTCAAACTGAACTTTTTAACTGTATCTGAATTGCTAAAGTAGTTGCAGCACTATGTTTTTCACAGGATTAAATGGCCAGTGACCGTGTCGCTGCAAGTCTCGTTCACCTCTTTAGTAATCGCTCGGACAGGAAAAGCCCTGGCAGGCAAAAAGAGCGCTGCTCGAGTGTGCATGATGAGGGTGAAATAGTTACAGTAAAAAGTAATAGTTACAGAAAATATTTAGTAAGTGTCAGATACTGCCTATAATTATTCTTGTTTGTTTCCTGTATACTCAATCAGTACTCCATCAGTATCCAACAACTTCTGTTAAGTGTTTGCTGAATACTGTTCACCAGTTCCGCGGCTTGCTTGTGGTGTGGGCGGATAGCTCGGTGTGAATTTTAAATCATTTTGCCTATGGCAATTTTCAGTTGTGTAATACTGGAATGTGTTTATTTTAACCTGAGCGTTCGTTCTCCTTCCTTATCACGTATCTTTCTTTATTCCGACACTTATCACAGAAGTATTTATTTATAATTCTTTCTTTGCAGGCTAATAACCTACATAGAAAATGAGACTGAATAACATGCACATGCTGATTACTGGAGGAGAGGCTGAAGGACATCCTGTTTTGATTTAGCAGTGTTACTGTTCTTTGGGGTTAAATGGAGAATTTGATTCTGTTTTGGAAATATTCATGTATCTAATGCAACTGCACTTCAGTAGCCTTTTTTTGCAGTGCAGATTTCAACAATTTTTTCTTAAAGATGCAGAACCTATCACTAGGACAAAGTCTTACTGATACAGACACATCGTACCAAATGTCTCTAAAAGACCTGACAGTTGAAGTAGGTGGTACATCTCTGGATGAAAGTGACTATAACTCGAATGGAAGGACAATTAACAAAGAAAGTACTAATCTTGAAGTCATGCAGCAAAGCCTCCTTGTAGTGAATAGCAAAGAGAGAAGTTGTGAGGGATTTTCTGAAAGCAGTTACAGTACCACAGAACCCAGTGGTTCCTGGGGTGATTTTGAAGGCTTTGAGGAGTCCTTGGGTGAGTCAGAGAGATTCAGTCAAAATCTTGAAGTTTTGGTGAAGTCAACAGAAACTTCTGGAGTTGATAGAGACTTAAGCAGTGGACACTGTAGCACTGATGCTGATCACTTTTATTGTGAGCCATCTCTACACAGTGTGATACAGGAGGCTTCAAGCTCTCTAAATGAGGTATGTGTTAACAGTAAACCAAAGAACAGAAATGTTTGTGTTACTGCTTCCTGCATCTCAAGATTTGTATCTGAATGTCTCCTCTGTACAGAATAATGTTGCACAGGGAGAGAAACTGTCTGTACTTTGTACTGTACTGTACAGTACTTTGTACTGTAAAAAGTACTTTGCAGCTAACTTGGGTGAAAGAAATGCAACTTCTTTATAGTGTTTGACAAATACTTAAGTTATCCTGCTGGAGAGCTTTGAAGAATGTAATGTACTATGTTGCTTCTAGGCGCTAGGAATAAGTAAGAATACAGAAACAATGAACTTTTCCCTGAAGCTCACACAATTTAAAAGCTAGATTAGAATGAGCATAGGAAAAAAAAGAATGTGACAAAAAAGGAAGGTCAAAAAGTGTATGACTTGCTTGCAAGCTGATTGAAGTAAAGCAACATAACACTGAGTTAGAAATTGGCTAAACCAATAACTTCTGTTACTTAATATACTGCCAGAATAATCTAGTGGAATTTTAGACTGATTGCAGGTGGAAGTTAATGGCAAAAAGGTGAATGGGAGTTAATGACAAAAAGGTGAACAGAAGTTATTTAGTATAATTTTATTTTTTTTTTTTTTTTTAGGATAGGATGTTACATTCTCTTATACAATGTTAGAACTAATAATCTGAATAAATACTATAATGTGTCCTTATCACAAGAAAAAAAGGTTCAGGTTAAGGGTTAAAAGGTTAAGGTTAAGGGTTGTACCTTGTTGCAATTGATGTGTTTCCATGTTTGCCAAACATGCATCACCAAAGCGAAACAAAATAACAAAAGGAAAATACAAATATATAAAACACCCTCCTTCTACTTTTATCCTAAACTAAAGCATTTGAAAAAGAGCAATGACTTAAGGCTTCCATGGGGTTCATGAGGAGCAATAATAGCTTACTACCTGTAGCATGCAAGCTGAGTTCTAGTATGTATATGGAACTGAGAGTTTTCTGGGGAAGGCTGTCTTGGTCCTGCTTGTGAACTTTATCTGTGGCAGAGGTGTTAATAGGGAAAGCACAAAGACGCACATGGGATAAGCTGTCCAGCCCTGGCAGAGTGGAGATCACAAGGTCACAAACAGAGAATTTAAATTATTTGTAATGCTGGAAACTGGTGACAAGAAGTCTTATGTTGAAAAGAGAGAGTATGTAACAACTAGAGATGAAATAGAATTGCTTTCTTTCCAGAAGCCTTTCGTTTATTTTTGCATTTATTAAAGGCAAAAGGAAATGTCCAGTATAAGCTATGTAAGTTAATAGTGCCTAGAGTTTCAAGCTGGCTTTTCCTGTCTCAGGGTGGAAAAATATCTGCAGAGCTGTTGGAGATTTCTTTGGGTGTAGGATATAAGTGTAGCTTGTCCTTCATTCCTGTGCTTTCTGTATTGTTTATTTGAGGCCGTAAACTCTTAGGGTTAAGGCTCTGTTTTCTGTATGACCAATAGAAAAAACTCCAGATAGGTTGGAAGAGACCTCTAGAGATAATTTGAGGTCAGAGATCTGACCTTCAATATGTAATGCTTTAGTTAATTGTCAGTGTGGCCCAGAATCATGTGTTTTAAGATGAAAATAACCACTAATTTCCTGGCAGTAGCTACATATTTTGCCCACATGGGCAAATAACTTTAAGGATTTTTCATGTGTTCTTTAAATACTGGCCTTTGTGAGAGCACACTTCCTTAAGCACTGGAGTATTCTGATATAATAGGATATAGATGATTTAGTCAAAAAGCACCATTGTGAAATTTGTGCATTCCTGTTTTTATAATTAAAGCTACAAGGTAGATGGAAATATACCCAAATTTTGTTTTAGAAACACCTGCTGAAGTAGAAAGTAATAAGGTCATAAGAAACTTGGGTATTTTATCTGGCTTGGTTAAACTGTAAGCCAGTGACTTGTATGCATGTCAGAGTAGCATTAAAGGCTCTAAGAAGACATTACAAATAAGGCAGACCTGTGCTTCCCTCAGTTCACACTTCCATGGCTGTGATTTCACACGCACCAAAGCAAGAGCAGCTGCCTGATTTGTCCTTAGCTCCAATCCCATTCAGGTTTTGGTACCTACTTGGAAGCTGTTTTTGTTTTTCTTGACCATGACTCTCCATGTATGCTTTAGTAAGTGTGCTTCACAGAATTCTGCTTGTCAAGCTATCTTTCTCTGCCATATAGTACCCCTGATGCAAGTTAAGTCTACTGAAATAATTTATAAATCAGTTTAAAGTATTGTGACATTTTGGGCAAGATTTAGAGGATTTTACCCAAGAATCTTTGAATGACCCAGCAGTTGCCCATCAGGGTAGGCAGTTTAGCCAGGCCTTACTGAGGAGGAAGCAGTGTGGGGCACCAATTTTATTTCTAGAAGCATGCTCAGAAGTACAGAAGCCGTCTACCAGCTCTGTTGATTTTGATCCCTTATCATTAGATTAAATCAATACCCTCTCAGTATTTACTGCACTTGTTTGAGTCCAGTATAATGAACTTGTGATAATACCTCCACTTATTTCAGCTGTTCAAGTTACAATTAAATGAAATTGTCAAAATATGGAGCATCCATACTTATGTTTTTCAGTTTTAATTGTTGATTGCTAGATAAAGAAAACAAACTGACTGGTTTTATTCTCTAGTTTTCACACAACACTGCTGCAGTCGCTCTGCAGGATGTTGAAGCCAATTAATTCAATTCAGAAAATGGCACTAATTTCTTTTTTGAAGGAATAGAAGGACAAATGTGCCATTCTGGACCAGATGGCATGATAACATTTCTTTAGGATAGGGTGTAGATTGTGCATGTTTTTCCTAGTGTATGTAATTCTTACACTTCAGATAACCCTGTTACTTAACATAGGTTTTTTTGGATCACTCATGTGACCATGTTCAGTCCTCCAAACTACTCCTCATGACTGCTGGAGGAGGAAAAAATATATAACTCTGTCTCTGATTTTTAGCATAGGCTAGAAAAAGTTTGGTGCAAATGCAAGTGTGCAGAGACATATTCACCCCAGCCTCTATGCAGATTTACACATTGGTAACTATAGCATATAGTAATATGTTACATTTGACTGAATTAGGTGTGTTTGAATACTATGTTAGCAAAACAAACTTTTGAATTTATGTACGCATCAGTTTTGACCTGGACTGAATTAGCTGAGCAGAAGAAGGAGTCTTGAGTGCCAACAGGCAAACCAATGTACAACTTAGGAGCTGGGAAGCTGGAGACCAGGGTTCATTAGAAACTCTTGGACTCTTGCTTCTCCTCCTCTAATTCTAATTAGAGGTGAATACTCAAAACAATGAACTACGGGCTAATTCTTTTTGTGCCATTAATAACAAAATTTAAAAACAATAATACAATCTCTAGAAACATTGTAGCCTTTGGACTAAGTCCTTCAGGAGCTGTGCAGATGGCCTGTGTAACATATCTAATAAAATTCTGTTTCTTCTAGGCAAGCCAGAGCTATGAGGATATGTTTAAGTTGAGCTTTCCAGAAGTCTTTGTATCACAGTCCAGCGAGAGCATAAGAAGCTTAGATCAAGTACTTGATACAGATAATGGAGATGTTGGGATTCCTGAACTTACAAAGAATCTACTTTGGTAATGAGCTTAGATCAACAGTTAAAAAAATATTACTTCAAAAGTTCCTCAGCAGTTACACTGTTTATTTCATACTTCAAAACTCAGTGGGACTTGCAGGTGAACTTAAAAATCTTTTTAATCACTATGCTCTTCAGCAGATAGATCTTGCCAGTTTTGTATTGTATTTTTAAAGGGAAAGGGTTGTGGGTTAGCCATGAGAAAACAGGGAAGGGAATATATCAGAAATTAACAATTTCTGCTTAGTGTTTTTCCTGCTTGTGATGTGCCTTCTTATGACTAAGCCTCTGGAATGCCAGAACACCCAACAGGCAACCTGTTCTTCCTGTTTGCTTGTCCTTTCTTTACCACACACCTGACTTACTTCTCCATCATCTGAGGCAGAAGAATTGCTGCTGCTTCTACTGAAAACCCACTTGCTTGGTTTTTTCTAGACCCTGCCCAATTTTCCCTGGTGGTAGCTTCTTGTATTTAACCAGAGTCTGTGGTGCATCTGGCTTCTTTCCTTGGGTTATGTTAGTACCATTTCTCTTAAGACTGCTGGAATCCTTTTAGATTTGTTATATCATTTTGGAGGATCAGTAGCTTCTGAGCAGTATTATAATTGCTGAACAGTATTATAGTTATGTCTGTATACATATGAGGTTTTGTATCTAGAAAGCTGGGTCAAACTATGCTTCAGAAATGTCATAAGAATCACAAGACATGTAATTAAAACATTTAATGTGGGCATCCTTTTGGCAAGTTTCTTATATGTATGTTATTTTTTAATTAGGTTCAGACTTGTGGAGAAATATATATATGTAAAAGGTCTCTGGGGAGGCCTTGGAGCAGCCTTTCAGTACCAAAAGCAGGGCTACAGAAAAAACTGAACTTTTTACAAGGGCATGTAGTGATAGCAGAAGAGGGAATGGCTTTAAGCTGAAAGAGGGTAGATTTAGTTTAGATATTACAAAGACATTCTTCCCTGTGAGGGTGGTGAGGTGGTGGCACAGGTTGCCCAGAGAAGCTGTGGATGCTCCATCCCTGCAGTGTTCATGGCCAGGTTTCATGGGGCCTTGAGCAACCTGGTCTAGTGGAAGGTGTCCCTGCCCATGGCAGGGGGTTGGAACTGGATGAGCTTTAAGGTCCTTCCAACCCAAACCAGTCTATGTTCCTATGAAAAACGACTGCAGTATTATAGCAGAGTACCAGCTACAGATATAAAAGCCTTGGTCTACTGTGGTGAATAATGAAGATTAGTCATAATTGCATCCTGTCCTAAGTAAAAAAGTAAGTGGATTTATATGAGATGAATGCAATATAAGAATCCAAAGTACTGTGTAGTGAGAACTCTAATTCTTCCTGTTTCAGTAGCATGTGCCTTTGGCTTGTTTTGTAGTACCTGCATGTCCAGGGCAGAAGCAGGTCACCCACCAGAGCACTGGGCTGCTGCAGTGAAGAGACATGACTGATAGGAAGAAGGAAGCTTTGAGAGACAGAAGATGCAAAGTGCAGAAATAATAGGGCTGAACCCTACCCACATGTCACAGAAGAAACTGCATAATGCAAGCTGTTGGCATGTAACAATCTCTTAAATATGCTTCTAGTGAACTTCTTATCTGAGAAGTGCAAATGTATGGTTATGTTGACTTGCTGTTTCCGTTAATTGTCACAAAAGCTTATTAGTGCATTGGGTAGATAATTTGAATGGATGTAGAGTGAGTTTTAAGAAAAGTTGCTTTTTAGATCAAGGTAAGCTAGTATGGCTGTATTTGGTGAAAATAATGAAGTTGTATATGTTCACTGGAAACTTTGTACACCTTACAACCTCAAATGGTGTTTTCTTTCCTAGCACTGATTCTGGAAACATATGGAGAACACTTAGAGACTATTATAATGCTCCCAGTTTAAGACATCCTTGGAGTAAATCTCATTGCCAAGAAAACCTCTTGAGTGTTCTTGGAATAGATGCAAATCAAAAGGTAATTTAACAATGGTTTTCTAGGATGCCAGCATAAACACTTTGTTATGAATCTTATTTTCTGTAAGCTATGCATGGGGATAAATGCATAAGAAACTAGATCTGGGTTGCAAGTTTTTTTAGAGAGAACCTTTTAAAGTGATAGTCTAGTGTCCATCATTATGTCTAAGGAACTATGAAGTTGTGCCAGATCAAATTTTGATCATCTTTTCATTGAAGTCTCCACTATTTAGTACCCTGTTGCTGGGTGGTATGTTCTGCTTTAGTATAGATGTAGAATTAGCTTTCAGATATATGTGTGATGTTATTTTTGCTCAGAGGATGAGAAAATTGTTAGCTTCTAATATCTTTCCAGTAAGTGAAAATCAGATTTGAATCAGAGAGGGTGTTAAAGTAATTACTGGATGTTTTTACTGTATATGAACTGAAAGTGTGTTCCACTTCCCTTTTCCTCAGATTATTCTGTCTGGTTTTGCAAGGCTTGAGGGAAGGGTCTGTTTTAAATTGAATCAAGACCAAACTAACAGTACTGAAAATATCTCAAATGTTTCTGTTTAATCTCCTTTTTTTGAGAAGATCAAGGTATCATACATGGTTTGGTATTCAACCTGGTTATTTAGTTGGGATGAATAAGTCATATATGGAAGTAACTGTCTCAATTGATAATTTGATTGCTGAAGCATGGGTCAGAAGTCCTGCATTAAATTCTGATTTTATGGACATACGTGGTCTTTCATGCAAGTTATATGTAAACAGAATGACAGTGCTGAAGGTGTAGAATCTATTTTGCACTTGAAAGCCACTTTTTTGGAACTGTTGCTTAGCAGGAGAGAATGGGAGACATTTCTCCAACGTAGTTAAACTCCCCTTCTGTTTCTTTCCCATAGATACACTGGGCATTAAATTAATGCCCAGGCAGCTTAAACTGAGGCCATTACTTCTTTTCTGGTACAGGAAAATTGTATTGCTTTGAACAATACTGATGAAGATTTATTTCTCAGCTATTTTCTGGAGTAGTTTAAGGCTAATTTTATTTGGGAATTTTTTTATTAACTTAAGTCAATTAATTTCATATGTGTAGAACTTATTCTGGCACAAAATTGTTTTAATGCAAGAAGGGCACATGATAAATCAAAACATAGCTTCAAAAGGTAAAATTTAGTGGTTATTCTTACTTTGAGGGGAACTTCTCTTTAGGTTATGTGCTTTGAGATTAGATGGGAATTCATAAAGAAAATGCAAATTATGTTTTATTAGGACTTTTCAGAGAGCCAGGATATTTTTGAGGAATCAAATGTTAAAGATACTGAGGACTTCAGATTTGATGGATTCAGTATTAATGACTGCAAAGCACTGATCCAGACCAAGGTAAGTATTGCTCTGAAAGTAAGTGCTTCAAAGAACCACAGAGTGTATTTCATGTGTTCCTCTCTGCTGTTCTTGCCCGCTGTTCTAGCAAGTGTCCTAATGTAATTGTTTGGTCCCAATATAATTTTGTTTGGATGTGGAGTTGCTTTTTGCTCTTTGAAATGTGTCTGATAGCTTCAGAAGAGGTACAATATAATGTACCAAATGCAGAGCAACATAATATGGGGGATGCTGAAATATAAGATTATTTGTTTCATGAGCTGGGCTTCAGGACAAATTATTTGTTGGTTGAGAGACAGCAGCAATATATAAAAAGTAGTCGGGATGCTCTGATGACAAAGGAAGATCAGCATGTACATGGAAGTACCAACACATTGGTCACTGAGAATGATGGTTGTAACCTACTCCTAAAATACATGGTAAGGGAGAAATCACATTCAGACTTGCAATTCAGATATTCGGAATGATTCAGATTCAGTTGGTTCACTCAGGGAGAAAGCAGGAGTTACTTCAAGAGGAAGGCAAAATTGATGTTGTAACTATAAGGATTTGAGAACATTACTGTTTTGAAGTTGTGTCACAAAACAGAGAAATGAAATGCTTTGTCGTTAGTGCATTTATATTGTCGGTCAAACAGGATGTAATAAGCTTCATTTCTTTCTTGCTAAAGCAATGCAAGTTAGAAGGAATATTATCATTCCCTGTTGTGGTAAAAAAAAGATAAAATCAGTTACATTCTCTTTTTAACAGAGTATTTTTGATGAATATTCTTAAGTCAAGGTCCCTTCTTCAGTTAAGGAAAATAACCTAAAGCTACTCGTGTTGCTGTGGAGATGCATAGTTTGAGGTGCACTTTCATTGCTCTGTTTTACCCTGTTTACTGCATCAGACAATGAAGATATGTAACCATTCCGGGAACCTTGTACATTAGAGATGTTAGTCTGGAGACTTAGAAAGAAAACTGAAAGAGACTGTCTAGCTTATTCCTTCATAATTCAGGTCTGTTTTTTCAGTGAGTACATGGGGATGGGATTCCAGTAGCTGACATACTTGAAATGTGTAAAATACAGAGGCAGGGTTTAGGCAAAGGAGAAGTGGTTCAAAGTAGATCAAGAAGGAGAAAGAGTAAAAAGATACATGATACAAAGTTGAGGTAAATGGACAGTATTTTTCTAGAGTAGCCTCTGAAGGGGAAGAACAATCTCTGCAGCTTGGTGTCTCAAAGTAAAGCTCATCAGGAAGCATATGTTTCCGTTTCTACTTCTAAGTAAGTGAAATCATTAGAACAATTTCTATTTATCTTCCTAGTTATGTCCTTTTTTAAATGCTAATTTTATTTTTATGAAAACTTTATAAAAATAGATTGAAATATAAAAAGTGATTAATTTACTGTAGGTTGGAAACAATTAACTTAGTTTTTCTTTTTCACTCAGCTTTCTGTATCACCAGATTCCAGACACGGTCATCTTTTCACCTGTGACCTCTTCTTGAAAACCACATCATCAAATGGAAACATGCAGTATATCACAACCCCAAGGAAAAGGCATATTTTTGCTGCATGCAACCTAAAAATGAAATTTTTTCAGTAGTGATGTTTGAACCAAATGCACTTTTTAATTATTTTGTTTTCTTTTTGAACTGAATGCAATTTACCTTCATTTTGTTACTGGCATGGTACTGTAGACTACATGTGCCCTTTAGGAAACTGACATTTTACTGTATATGAGGTTCCTAAAGCCATGTTACTAGAAGATATTTAGTTGTGACGTCAGAGGTGTAATTATGCCCTACTAAGTTTTGCTGCAGTCATGTCTATTAAGAGTAAATCCCACTGCAGTCACGCTTTAAGGGTACTGCAGTGGAACTGAACTACTGATCTTTCAGGCCTTAATGCCTCTGATCAAAAACCTCCTTTTCCTTCCAAAATCTAAAAGCAGCTCAGGTGCATTGTAAGGTGTGCCTTGTCACCATCACTCCTTCTATTTGGTCCAGTTTGGATCAGTGGGGATCTGTTACTTCTCCACTGCGTAACACAATAAGAGGAGCCATCTGTATATGGTGGCTTTCACTGAGCTTTAGAACAAAACTGTTTAAATTTCTGATAAAGCCTGCTGTGGTGATTTGGGTAGTCTGAAACGTTTTGCTCTGGCATAGGTTTCTAACTGATATAAATTGCCTCTGAAACTGACATTAACAGTACTTCTTGGATTCATTCAGGTACCAAACACCTCCACCCCGCACAGCTACACTTGGTAAAGCCTAGCAGGGGTGTAGCTCAGAACTTGCACTGCACAAGGCTGCAAATTGCTGCCCTTTTAAAATTTTATAGTAACTATCAACTACATTGCCCATCTTCCTGCATGCTTGGGTGCCAGAGGGGATGCACTTCACCTTCATTCATGTAATGCGTGCTGCTTCCTTGGCAACTGCACCACCTTTATTTATTCACTGGTAATAACTTTTACCCAGGTTACTACCTATTTACTCCTTTGACCATTCTGAATGTGAGAGTTTTATACTGCTTTTGAAGAGATTTTAAATGGTATTTTATTTGTTAAAAGCAGGGAATAAACCTGGATACTATGAAACTATGTCAGTTAATTATTTAATGATGTGCTTATTCTGTTCTTAGAATTAAAAATACTATAAAGCACTGGTAGACTCCACCCTTAATCTAGTAAACTGTTCAGCAGTGAAATTACAGTTGCTGTAATAATTTATGACTTCAGTAATGTTTGTGATGGCTCAGTGCAATTCGCAGAGGACGGTGTATTAGTTACTCAGTAAACTGCAACAAACCATTTGGGAAGGCACTGTTTGAAAGTGTCTGAGCAGCTTTTCTGGCCCTAGGGGGAGTTCTGCAGTGCCAGACTGAAAATTCAGTGTGGTTGCAAGAGCAGAGTCAGCTTTTTCACTTAATGCTGGATTTGAGTTCATTTTCAATTCACAGAATCACAGAATGGTTTGGGTTGGAAAGGACCTTAAGATTATTCAGTTCCAACTCCCCTGCCATGGGCAGGGGCACCTTCCACTAGACCAGGTTGACCAAAGCCCCGTCCAGCCTGGCCAATCTGAACGCTCCCAGGGATGGGGCAGCCGTAGCTTCTCTGGACAACCTGTGCCAGTGTCTCACAGTAAAGAACTTCTTAATATCTGATCTCCCCTCTTTCAGTTTAAAGCCATTTCCCATGTCCTGTCATTACATGCCCTTGTAAAAAGCTGCTCTTCAACTTACTTGTAGGCCCCACTAAGGTTTTTCAGAGCAGTTAAACATGCATTAAATAGGCTGTAGTCATGAACTTACAAAATAGTAAATGGCCAACTGATGAAGGGGTAGTTGAGGTTGGTAACAAACATTACTGAAATCAATTATAAGAAGAAAATCCCACATTTCTGCTTTCAGACAAGCAGGGGCCTATGGAAGGGCCCAAGGGAATTGTTTGTGGCACATATGGCACCAGCTGATGCATTGGGGCACGGAGGTCCTCCTTTCTTCTGGGTGTTCAAGTTTGCTTTTGCAAACAGCAGATGAAGCTATTGAAGAGTGTTTTGCAACAATACATCAAATTTTGCAAATACATCAGCTTTCCATTGTAGCAGCAGGCTTTTCAGCCCTGACCAAGGTGCAGATTGGGGGGAAACAAGGGTTTCAGCCCTTTATGATTCAGTAGGAAAAAAACAACTGGGGTTACAGAGGTGACAGGGTCCACAGTTCAGGTCCTTCTGTTTTGGACCGATGCTTTGGGCCACCTGAGCCCTTCCTGTCTGTGAGCACTGGCTGTGCTAGGAGAGACCTCAGTCTGAGGTAAAGTAGTTCAGCTCTTCAAAGAAACTGACTAGGAGAACTAAATTACAAAGGAATTCAATTCGTTTTAATGGCTGCAGTACCCTGGCAGCCCTCACCTGAATTTGGGCACAATCTGTGTATTTGGGGGTACTCACAAAGGAAGAACCGCAGTTTAACGGACAAGAGAGCATGCTCTGGGGGACAAAACAAATCGTAGCTGCCCGTTTTCAGGCATGCTGCATAGCATGAAGTAGCCTAGCCTTCCGTGGTTATCCTGGGAAACAAGGGGTGCCGGAAACCCCTGCGGAGCTTGTTGCACAAATGCTGGCTATTAATTTCCTTTAGTCACTTCCTTGTTCCTGCCCTCCCCGGCACCCAGCCAAGCACACCAGCAACTGCAGCACGCCCGCGCTCCTGCCACATGGCTGCAGAGAAGCAGGTGCTTATCCCGTGAAAGCAGTGCAGGGAGGAAATCAAACTTTGTACTTTTAAGGTACAAATTTCATTATTTCTCATCTTAGTTGTGAGCTCTTCACTGCAGAACGCTGAGTTTTGATGAACTAAACTTGTTACTGTACTCCGTGTTTGCCGAAAGCAAATACCACAGACTTCTGACATTTGCTTGGGATTGCAAAAAGGTGAAAACGAAAGCAAGGTGAGAGTTTCAGACAGCACAGCTAAACAGAAATGCCTTTTTCTTCCACCGAGATTAGGGGCAAAATATACCCACAGAATAAAGTTTTATCAAGTTCAAATCAGCAGTGTAATTACTCACGTTTCCTTTGTAGAAATAATACTGTAATGCAAAAGAAGGACTACTCTGTGAAAGACTGAAAATACCTCAATGCATATTATGTCCAAACATATAACAAAGAAGTTTAAGAAACAGCATATTGCCAGTGTTTGTAGACTTACTAGTAGAAAGTCCAAGTAATATATAGAATTTTATTAACAAAAGAAACAAGGAGAGGGCATTCCAGAGCCTAGGATGATTTCTAAGTGGACCATAAGCCCACCATTGGTTTGAGATAAGCAGAAGACTCAGTGAAAAACAAACACCTTGTTAAAGCTTAAATATTCTTTTCAAAGTTCTGAGCTCTTACAGGTTTTAAAAGCACTCTGATCTTTTTAATAGTGAAGATCTGTTGTAATAGTCATCCCATTAAAAAATGGGAGGACTCTCTGTAGCACTCCTACTCCAGTTAGGATGGCAACAGGAGTTTGGCTAAAAATGAGTTGAATTAAAGTTAATTCTTAAACCTCAAACTTCTCTGTGGATCGAGTTTAACCTCCACTCTGAAGGGCTCACACACAATGCACTCCAGCAGCAGATGCAACAGACTCACTTCAGCCACACAGAGCACCTTTTGCAGAAATAGGGGCAAGAACCTCCAGAACTTTCAACCCACAAGACAGCCAAAGCTCAACTAACCCAGCCTAGTGCTCTGCTGGCATGAATGGGTCCTAACCAGGGAAAAACACATGGAATGCATGTGCAGCATTTTTTTCTTCTTCCAGCAAGGCAAGATACCTGTGAATGCCTGGCAAATACTTAAACACAAAAAATCTTCCATCCTCCCCTAACATCTGCTTTAATAACTCATTATTTATAGACAGTTATGCATCTTAATAGCTTAATTATTCACTTCTAATGTTGTTTATTAATAAAATCACTTTTGCAACTAAGTATAACTCATCTTCCTCACAGAACTAGTGAGTAGGTTATTTTCTTTTGTGTATTTTACTCTTGCTTGAGCTGGAAAGTGAACCTTTTTAAGTGTCCCTTCCAGTATACTGAACAGCTGATGCAGCACTTCAGGCAGCACCTGCATCTCCCTAGCCAGCCACGTTTTAAACCAGCACTGCACCGGGCTGTGCTGCTCAGCAGGGTTTTGAGTTCAGATCTTTCAGTGTAGCTAAAACTGATAAAAATCTATGAAGTTGTACACCATCTTTAAAGTGTCTTAACATAACCTGAAAGTGATACTTAAAAAAGCTTTCTTAGAAGACTAAACTGCAGCATACCTTTGCAAGACAGCATTTTCTCTTGCTCAACTTCAAGATCCACCAGTACAAGCGCTGGTCTGTATCTCAGTGTCCCACTCCAGTAATGCAGTGACAGGGCTGTCATCATGATGGTAACCACCTCACAGGCAAAACCTGGTGTGTGTGAAGTTACTTCTAGACCTAGGCGTTTCATGCTGCAGTCACCAGGCTTCAGGACAAAGGTAAGAATTCCCAGTCAGTAAGCAGCAGCCAATGGAGCCTTGTCAACAAAATTAAGTTCATTGCACAAGAGTCAGGACCTCATTTTAGAGGTCTGCAACAGGGTGGAAACCTTTAAACCTGAAGGTGCTGGTGTAATCTGATGGTGTAGCAGCAACAAACAACCTTCCACTAGAACCAAGCAGCAGTATTTTTGTTCCAGACAATAACATGGGTCTGAAGCATCACTGTTACGTGCAGCAAACATACTTGCATTCACTATTTGGTTTCAAGCACAGCAACTCCTGAAGCAACACCATGAATGGCATGGGCTGGGAAGACTATGCAGGGCAGACAAGACAGCAACTGGAGGTTGCAGCAACAGGTAAGTGCTAGCAAATGTCACATGCTCATAGCAGGAATCCCCAACCCCACCACCCACCCCTTGTTCTACAGGGACAGGACAAAAGGAATGCAATGTTGTAGAAAAAGTTAGTAGAAACTTAGAGCTAACAGCACTAACATTAGTAACAGCTAGAGTAGACACAGAAGCAGCTTAAATATTAACAGGTAAAGTAGGCAAAGCCTATAGATTATGGTATGTGAACTGCAGCAACCCTTTTACGACATGCCAAATGGTAAAATA